TTTATTTTTCTTCAAATGGGGACATTTTTCCGCGATTCCGTCCTTCCAACGCTCCAATAACGCTATATAATAGTCGATGTTGATGGGGTTTCCCTTTTCGAAATAGTCGATGAATATTATACCACGTGCATCCCAAAATACTGATACCATAACCTTGCCAACCGACTGTTGCATCTTTGAATGCTTTGGAGTCGGTGCACCATGTGCATTCTACCACAGGAGGGCTTATTTTTAATTTTATATTTTATAACATTGAGAACATCTATCTCAGAAACATATTGAACAAACATACTCTCTGTTTGAAAATTATTTTGTGGATATTTAATTCGATGATTTAGGTGTTGTATATTTCCTATTTTCATATATCATATATCATATTTCATATATCACAACTCCACTCCAGCACGACTGACTGTTCGAAGTTTCGTGCTCACGCAAGATACTTCTTATCATCGCTTGGCCGTCGCGAATTTCGTGCCCCCAGCCATAGTACTTATATCCGAAAAAGATGGAAATTCAACTTGTGGTAATTCGTTCACAAGTTTTGATTTGATACGTTGTTTATTGCTCTATCACCGGTTAACTGATATTGGAATTCTGAGAAAAAACAAGGGGAACTCCCGCCAGAAATATTTAAAACTAGATCACGTCTCTTATATTCTCATTATTTGGGTTCACAGATGTGAACCCAATGTGGGAATCTTGTAAATTGAGGAAGAAATCTAATAATTCCAAAATGTTCTGTATGTTCATTTGAACATACAGAATATTGAACATACAGAAAAAAAAATTCCCATTCAGTTTGAACCCCAAACATTCGTTATAAAATTCAATATAATTGACCCAATACAAAAATAACTCCATTGTTGAGAAGTGTATGATCACATTATTGTTACTGCTGTCATTGAACATTCAAACGAATTTTCACTAAAATTATACAATATTAAGGCACATTATACATGAGTTGTTATCGAAACAGTTTTTCCTGCAATGATTCGAGTATGAATAATTCAGGAAAACCCTGGGGAGGTGAATGACACTTCCCAGTAGTGATTTACTAATGGGTGTAAAATTAGAATATATGGAAACAGAAGGTGCGTGTGGTAGATGCTTACTCGTCTGATATATTTAGCATATTTTTTGGGTTATATAAATATTAAAAGAATAATTGCAGCTGCACCATTACTTCAGGGAACAATGAACAGACTACAATATCACCTGAAACAAAACTGAATAACTTCATGCTAATACAGTCTTCAGTTTAGGAAACAAGAGAATTTGTTGATGAATCGTTAATAAATTCTAGTTTCGAGGAATTCAGTTATAGATTAGATAAGATTGTCCGGGAGTTAGCCCATGGTCTGAGTCACTGCGACCTTTTCACATCTATTGTGATGCTCCTTGGTTGTTAGAGCTCATTGTCTAGCTTTATCTCTTTGATGAGACTCCATAGCCTTATCACTGACCGCTTTGTATAGCTGGCAGCCTCTGGTTTTTCTTCCTCGCATTTTGCCTGTCTAAGCCTTGCTATCGCTTCGCACTCACAGAGCACATGTAGTGCGGTTTCTTTCTTGGTAGAACCTGCATTGGGTTTCTTCTGTCATACCCATATTGCTCATATGATTCCTGAGTCGGCTATGCCCCGTTTATAGACCCACCACTACCCTTACAAACTTACAGGTCTTCCGTGAATCTGGGCGATGGTTTCTTCATGAATTCTTTCGCCTGCCTCATTTCTGGGAGCTCATTCCACCAATCTATCGATTCGGCTTGCATCCATGAATTTATGGATGTCTTTATACATGCTTTCGCTACTCCGCAGAAGGGTTCTGGGCCAATCATAGTCTTGGATGCGCCTTTACGGTCTAGAACATCGGCCTCCTCGTTGCCCGTGTTACCCTCATGTCTGGGTACTCAAGTTAGAGTAACCCTATTCTGAGTACTTAGCTCCTTGAGCGCGCTCAGACAGCATTCCACCAGTCTTAAAAAGACTTAAAATGAGCTGAGCGCCTTAATTGCCGCCTGGCTGTCGGAGAAAATGGCAATGCTTTTATTTCTGCCTGTTTATTTTTTCTATACAGTGTTCGATGGCCACTACTTCTGCCTAAAACATAGTTGAATTATGTCCGAGGCTGAGTGTTTTCTCGTCTTTGCTCTGGCTTGGTATATACCGGCTCCCACACCTTCTTGGGTCTTTGAGCCATCTGTATACCAAGTTATCTACATACCAAGTTTCTTCCGCTTTTACCGGTGGGCCGTTTTGCCAATCCTTTCTACTTGGTATAATGATTTCGAAATCTTCTTGAAAGTTGTACTGCGGACTTGTGTTATCCACGGGCATTTCTAGCATTGGATCTGCCTTCAGTTCATTGTTCAGTTTCAAGTATTCTGGAACGTGTGCCTGGCTGATTGGGATTTGCCCCTGCGTTAGCCTGTGTGTCACCAGTCGAGCTTCTTTTGTATGTAGATGTGCAATGGTGGAAGTCCGAGTAGGACCGCAAGTGCTGCAGTTGGGGTCGTTCTCATAGCTGCCGCGACACTTAGGCAGATATAAGGAACGATGGCCCAATATCTAATTGTCAGTTATAAATGACCACTAGATGACTGAAGAGCCCCAATGACTTGTATATATAATAATAATAATAATGAATTATATGTGTGACAGATAACCAAGAAACCACAGAAGCTCCAAAAGTGCTTGTTAGTGATGAAATAATAGTAAAAAATAAATATATAATGAAACACAAAGAAGAAAAAGACACAATCGATAAAGTCTCATTGGATAAATATAAACTTACAACTATTGCCCATGATATAATATAATTTTTGTTACATTTGGTTATATACTAGCGGGTAGTGAATGAGAGAAGAAATGAAACATCAAAAGGTATTCATCAGTCGACTCGACCTACAATGACTTCACGAATTTTTTTCCGGGGTTTCCGGCGATGTGATAAATCAATTTGATTTCATATGGAAGTGTATTGTATAATTTTGGAGCAATATACGTATATGAACGTTGGGATATTCGTTTTTGCAATTGTGGCGTAATATCGTGAATTCAATATTTTACATCGGCCGATCTCAAGGAGAACAACCCCGAATGAGAAATAAAAATAGCTATGTCTCCTACGCAAAGATCAACTATGGAACCCACAGAAAACCTAATTCCCGTTCAACTGAGATAAACGAGGGTCAATCATTGCATTTATGGGCCAGTTGTGTACCACTGATGAGATCTATAGCAGAACGAAACAGCGTTTTTGATACTGAATTACGAATGCAACGCTGTTTCATCCAGATGCCTATTTTTGGGGAAAGCTTCAGAGGGATCTGTTCTGTTGAAATGTTTTTTCCATTAACCAGCTGTTGTCCACTTCGAACAACAATCCTCAGAAGAGGACACGAGCTGAAGATTAACAAGGTCTTACCTTGTAACATGCGATTCTCAGCACAGATAGATAGCTTTCAAAAATCTACGCATGGAAGCGAGGTTTATGTTTTCTGTCGAATATATAAAATGCTTTTTTGTAGTGGAAATATATGTACTTACTTCACGAATATCTCGGTTTATTTCAAGTGAAAAGTGCTCAATTATAATATCGTTAGAAATTGTTAGTATCCATAGGAAATAATTTCATTCGTAACATTGTAACAAAAAAAGATTCATGATAAGTATCGAGGACACACTGTTTTGCTTGGTTACATTTATATTTTTGTCTGTTGCTGTCAAGATTCCATTGTTTCTAATATGTGAGATTGATGACTTGCTTATATTGTGGTAATTCATGATAACTTCAATGAAATGAATAAAACACTTTTGTCTTATTACCACTAGTTAATTTTATTGATACGACCGGTTTCGGGTTTAACCCCATTATCAAGTATCGGGAGTTTTCAGGTAAGATGTAAGGACAGATAGTTGAACAACAGGTAGTTGTACGAACCAGGGTGCCAACTTTAAAATTCAACACTGATGATTATAGGGGTTGTTAAACTCATAAATTCAAGAGTGGAGACCTACATAACTCGAGATGCTCGTTTTAGGATATATATTTCTGGTTTTCAATTGATTTCCAGCCGGTGGAGGAAAATTAAGAGATTGGGGAGTCTTACCAAAATGATTTACCAGACACCTCGTCTTTCTTGAAGGTCACATGGATCTGAACTGGCCATGAAAACAACAAATGTGGTTATGCATTCGTTCACTAGTCCTGAAAAGCGATTTTTTTCTTGGCAAGTTTTCGTTAATCTCAGTATTGCGAATCACCTTCTATCGACTCAGCTCGTTGCAGACGGGTCGAGTCTGAAACTGCCCTATCACAGTAGTAAACATCAGGCTCAATTCGCACTAATTTAATTTTGTTCCTAGGAAAGCTATCAATGCTGAAAGGTGCATGTATGAAATGTTAGCATCTTATGCTGTTCCACACGCAGAGTTGGTATGAGATAATATGCTTCTATTGTATGGCATACAACTCTGATAGATATAACTTACCTAAATAATGGGAACATGCCTCAGATAAAATGGCCAACGCATAGTTCAGATTTAAATAATATCGAAATGCTCGGTAGACGAATTCGAGGCCTGGTAACTCTAAACGAATTGCAAAGAGCACTCTTAGGGCAATGGAAGCTATTTCTTGAGTGAATATAAGCGGTTTAGTTTAATAAAACATGTATAGAAGAATAAATGTCATTTCAGCTCGAGGGAGTAATATGCGGTTAATATTGATTTCACATTTTGCTACCATGTGTTGTTATTCAATCGAGTTAGGCTTGATTTCACGATTTGAATTCATCCATCCATCATTTTCTTTAAGAATGTGTAACTTTAATAAAAAATAAGATATCGAGGTGAACCAAAAAACAAACTGTCGAGAAAAGTGGAGTCTTCATATCAACATATTTTACTAATTTCATACTAAAGAGTGTTTCACATTTGAGATGAAATACAAACTTGTAAATGTAAATGAATTTTAGTAATTGAAAATTCTCCGTGATATGGAAATCTAGATGTCAATTTATTTATTGCTCATAACAAATTAATATTCGTAACATATATTTTGTAATAAAAGTTTCTTCATATCATAATTCAATCGATATAATTTTCGAATAACGTCGTCACAAAAATATTCTTTCTTCGTTTCAATACTATTTGAATTTTGCTGATCGTCCAAGTTTTCTCAATTCTAGTTATATTTGTCAATGTTCCCTTTCTTCTTTCTTCTGCTGAGAAAACAATTTCAATTAAGTTATTCTTATTTCCCTAGGTATATCTGCTAGAGTGATGTGTCCATTTTGGATAAAATCTGAAACAAAAACAACTTTTTGAACATTCCGTATATCAAAAGGAAAATATGAAATGACATGATAGTGTTGAATTTTTAATGGGTTCATATATATGTGACATTCAATATAGTAAATGAAAATAGTTTTATTTCACAAAAGACTGAATTACCGGCTTTTGAACATATCTGAAGGAAAAACTGAATTAAAGAAACGTTACCCGGCCGGGATGTGAACGCTTTGTCGCTAATCCAATCCTTATTGTTTATATTACAGTCGATAAAACTTTTCTTTCATTTTTAGTTTCATTTCATTTTTACTTATATATTTCACTTTTGACCGCCACTGTCCGCATTAGTATTTACTATAGGCTGTTAGAGGTCGCCGTCATATAACTAACTTTTTCCTTGCCTTCGGACGATTCATAGATTTTAGTTTCGTCATTACATACTCCTTACGACATCTAAAACAATGACATTTTCTATGGAACTTAGTTCTGAGACTTAGAGAAAGAAATCTTACGACGTACTGACATGTATACAAAGTAGGTTAGATATATATTTGAATTGTCATGACTTTCGACATTGAGTCAGGTGTAATCGAAGTAATTGGTACTGTGCATACTTAAATTGTCGGCGTTCTCAAAGGCCAGAAAAACCAATACAGAGAAATAAAGCCGCTGCCAACTAGTCCACGTAGACTGAAGAATTGGCGATTCGTATTGGATGATTTTTACTAACCGAATGTTATGATTGACTGAAAAGTCATAAAATTACATTTGAAGTCATGTTATGGTGACGAATAGAATGTGGAGATGAGTATCGCCGTTGTGTCGTCAATGTTCAGTTCAGGAACTGATCGCGATTAGATTGCTGGAATTCAATATTGATGCAGTTATAATTACTTGAAATTTTTGTTACCTGTTTAAAATGTGGCGTCCTTGTGGCGTACTAATAGTAATAACGATTGTATTAACAACGCAGACTTTTTCCAATAGCGATTGTGAACAATGCGAAAAAGAGATACCAGTGAATAAGATTCGGATGGATTTGCACAGAGAGTATGTTTCAATGTATATAAGAATCTACATCTCAAGTTTAGTTTCGAGGGAAACAAACTATTACAAGCAACATCAGATTTGACCAAAATTCCTTTCTCAACTGTACGTAAAATAGTCAAAAACAAACCTTATGAACGCAAGACGCGATGTGATACGGGATTACCAACACCTTTAGATGTTCATCTAATAAAATCTTTGAAAAAAAAACAATATACGACTGTTACTGAATACTTCCGGACATAACGTGAGATGCTGTGACAAAACTCTTCAGAATTGGATAAAGAAACTAGGATTTAGATTTGAAATAAAAAAAACAACAAGCAGTTACGGAAAGCAGAAGAATAGTGGAATTGCGTAACAAATACTCAGAACAAATAACTAAATATAGACAAGAACAACGGAAAATTTTCTATTTGGACGAAACTTGGTATGCCACTCATGACATAGTTACGAAAGGGTGGACTGATGGTTCGAGAATGTGTACGCCTAACATGCCTGCAAACAAAGAATCGCTACTAATCATTGTGCATTGCGGAGGAAGTGAAGGATGGGTTCCGAATTTTTTGAAATTATGTACAAAAAAACTTGAGGACTGCAATGTTGACTATCATAAGAACATGAAAGCTAATATTTTTGAGGAATGGTTTGAAAACACATTGATCCCAAATTTGGATGCGAATAGTGTGATAGTTCTTGATAACGCGGCAGTACCGAATAAAATTCGAGGAAAGATGAAATACAAAGTTTTTCAATGGATACTAATTTGTATTTTGAAGATAAATATACCAAAAACTAACTACTTGAAATTATACGGACAAAAACATTTGAAAAAGTGTAATTGCTGAAAAGTATGGACACACCATACTGTGACTTCCCCCCTATTTCTGTGTTTTCAATCGCATCGAGTTGATTTGGGGTTCACTGAACCAAAGCATCAGACGTAAAAATAATTTTCCAAAATTTGATAAGAAGGTAACAGAGATAGTTAAAGAAGAAGTATCTAATATTACCAAAGAAGTCTGATAGAAGAGGATTAAAAAAGTAATATTAGTTGAAAAAGGCTATATGGAGATTGGATACTTCCATAATAATGGCGGAAATGAATTCATTATTGATTTAGGTGACGACAGTGATAGTGAAACAGATAATATGGAAGAGGAATTATCAGAAGCTTTCAAAGAAAGATAGTTGTCTCAGCCTATATCCATCGTCATAAAGCGGTCCTAAGATCGCTTCATTACCCCCTACAGTACTTTTAAGGCATTGACGAGATACCGGTGTTGCCTATCGTCGGGCTCATTCGCAAGCTAATAAGTATAATGTAGTTCTTCTCTACCATCAGAGAAAGACGATATTTGTCGAGGAGTCTTCAGCTTCTGGCGAGACGAATATCGTCTGAAAAGAGGAGGAAAAAGAGGATATTTCTTCTTCAGTGCGTGTTGCCGTGTGATTTTAGTGCTGCACTCCGCACTAAAGCAGAAATCTTAGTTGAACAAATTAGTTGGCTCACTGGGCTTGCTTGGAGCACAATATTTTCTGACCGAATGCTCACTTACCCCATGGTGTATGGTTGATAATGCTGGCGCAACCTCTGGAATGTATCGGGGATTTGGGGGATAGGGCCCGACCAGCGCAACCTTAGGGAAAAATGATAATGATAATATATTTTTTTACTTGTTGAAAAATAAGGAATAGTAAAGAGATACTATTCTGATACTGAAACAAGGAGAACGTTAATTATAAGCAATTGAAACATACAAACACATAAACCTATAATAGGAAACAATTATATCACAGAGTCATATTTTGATGACATATAACAAAGTTAGTCTCACCGCTGTCGCATTCGCTGTTAGCTACCGAAAAAATGTGTGGGTGTTAGCTCTTGGTATAGTTTTATTTTCCACCTGTATTACAGATATCCCATTTATATGAAAGTGTCTCTCTTGTCATCATTTCTTTTGGATGACCTGTATATGAATTGAACTGTAATTTAACCTACTTAATTTTCCATTCTGAAACTGTTAACAAGTGCTAATTCATTCATTGCGGAGTGTAGGCTAATTAGTGCATGGACAACATTAACATTTATCGTTAATAGATGCGTACATCCACGTTTAATCGCCCACCACTTGATGCTTCCGGTAATGGAACTCCACTGTTGCCAATGTTTGATGATGAATGTTGAACGTATAAACGTATAGTTTTTCTATAATGTCTTTAGTACACATTAAAACTTAATCTATTCAGACCCCGGAATCCTGAGATTTTTATCAGTCTCTTGTGTTCTGCAGTTTTGAAGGCAATTTTTCTGGTCAATCTGTGTCCAGGGAAAGAAGTGAAGGCTCCCTTCTTCTGGATTCTGCACTAATTTTGTTTTTTTTTGTCATGACAACCAAATCAAAATTCTTTCGAAAACAGTTTGTCTTCACCAGAACAAAGATGCTATTTCTCGACGCGCGTTTCGCTAACCAAGGTAGCATCATCTAATACTATCTGCTTTCTACATGTATTAACGTACAAGTACGGGTAAAAAGCAGATGATGAAATTAGGAACCCCCAAATTTAGCATTGAACCCTTCGTTGATGGGACATTTTCCATAAAGAACCTTTTAGCTGATGTTGACTACATCACATCTACTATCACTAATGAAAATGAAAAAAAGAGCATAGTAGCACGGTCTACTAATATTATTGATAATTTTATTACTTCCAGGAAATATATTAACAATAATTTTTTCCAACACCTTTTCATCAAAACAAAACGTTTCTTAAAAAATAATCCAAATCTCATTGTTACCAAATCTGATAAATGCAATTTTACTGTGATTCTCGACCGTGACCAATATATTACCTTTTCAAAAAACCTCATTGAAAATTGTGATTCTTACTCACAAGTGAGTAAAGATCTTACATTGAAAGTTCAACGGTCTAACCTGTTGGTGCTTCAATTGGTTCTCCTACTGAAAAACTTGCATCATTTCTAACAGACATTTTAACGAAAGCTTATGAATTTGACAACCAATTTTTTATTAAAGATTCTTTTCATGATTCGTCTACATTCAATAATATGAAATTACCTAATACTCATGTGATTGCTAGCTTAGATGTGGTATCTCTTTTCAGCAATGTCTATTTAGATGCTTGTCTCAGATCTATTGTTAGAAAATGGGGACGTATCAGTCAGTTTTGTGACATTAATGAAGACGACTTATTCCAATTCATAACTTTCCTTTTTAACAATACATATTTTTCATTTAATGGTAAAATTTATAAACAATTTTTTGGTACTCCCATGGGAGCTAAGACTAGCCCCATTTTAGCAACATATGTCATGGATGATCTGCTAGATTTGGTCTTACAGGTACTTCCCTTTAATCTTTTTTTTATAAAAAAATATGTCGATGACATTATCATCTTCCTTCCTCAAAATGGAATATCTGAGATTGTTGACATATTCAATAGTTATGACCCTTACATACAGTTCACCATGAAAACTGAAAACAACGAACAATGGGTTCCTTTTCTTGACACTAAGACAATCAGAACACTAGATAATACTCTACTCATAGATTGGTATCGTAAGCCTATGAGTTCTGGTATATTCTTGAACTATTGGTCATACCATAAGTAGTGGACGAAAATTAATTTGGTCAAGCAAATGAAGAACCGCATTCTGAAGATTTTCGATCCTTCGTTTCATAAAATAGTCAACTTGCTAAGTTTTTTATGTCAGTGTTGATGGTTTGTCCAATCAACCGACAATACCGATTCCTATAAATGATCTGTTTTCTCGGTAGTATTTCATCACTACGGAATTTTATAGATTTTGCGAAATCATTTGCAGATATGATAATGTTATGATCAAAGAAGTTTATGATTCTAATATATTTCTACGTGTTTGATTATAATAAAATTCGTTATGGTGATGTATTACATGAGTACATGATGATGTAGGTTATAAAAACATTTGACGTACGTTTCGTTTCTCTTTTCTGGTATCTTATCTGATGTGATGATTTCGATGTATATGGTCATCAGTATAATAACTGAATTTGAAGAAATTTTGATTTAATACCACTTGATATTCCTTCCTTGATATTTCAGCTCGTTTATACAATGTGCAAAAATGCAAAGACTTTTCAGATTATTTGAAAAAAATCACTATGGAATCATCTACAGTAGTTATTCTTGTCCTTAATTCCACCAAGTATTGAGGTTCTTATTGTGGACCACTGATTTAATGTATCTTCAGAACGAGCACTGTTCCCAATCATCAGAAATGCAATACTTTTCTCGACGCTCGTTTCACTAATCAAATTGAAGACGCCAAGTATTGCATATTTGGTGATTGGGAAAAGAGCTCGTTCTATTCTACTGCAGAGGTTTCACTTTTGCCTTTCACTAATGTAGCTTGTCGAAAATAATCTATATGTGTGAAATCATGTGATTCTGTCGACTTCATTATTGCTCCTCTTTTGGGCGATTGAACCTATCTACCAGACAATCTATCACTTTAATTATCGTTCTGTTGGACGAAAGTTGGGTGGTAGACTTTCATATTTACATTATCGCAAGATTCAATACTTTTATCAAACTCGTGATCATTTCGTGTGACATTCTTGTGTCGTGATATGAAGTGAAATAATCGGATCTACAAAACGCCGAATAGTCCTTTCTATCGGGAATGAAAACTACTTTCAGTAAATTCAGCAACTAACAGTCGGGATAAAAAAAAGTTCGTAGGCTAACATAGAAAAAAAAAATTCGGTAAATTTTCGATAAAATTTTTTTCCAGCGAGCATTATCTTGAGATCTGAGAACAGGGAAAGATCGCTGGGGGCGAGATCTGGAGAATACGGTGGATGCAGAAGCAATTTGAAGCNCGTCCTTCCAACGCTCCAATAACGCTATATAATAGTCGATGTTGATGGGGTTTCCCTTTTCGAAATAGTCGATGAATATTATACCACGTGCATCCCAAAATACTGATACCATAACCTTGCCAACCGACTGTTGCATCTTTGAATGCTTTGGAGTCGGTGCACCATGTGCATTCGACTCAGATGACGATCATTTTGATTCTGGTGTGAAATGATGGAGTCATGTTTCATCCATTGTCACATATCGATGCATAAATTCGATTTTTTATGGTGGAACAGCTTCAAGCACTGCTTAGAATCATCAATACGTTGTTGTTTTTGGCCGATTATGAGCTCGCACGGCACCCACTTTGAATAGAGCTTTCACATACCCAAATTTTCATGCACGATATGTCCAACACGATCCTTTTATATCTTTAGAGTCTCAGCTATTCTCAACAACTTCACTTTCCGGTCATCCAAAATAATTCTGTGGACTTTTTTGATGTTTTTGTCGGTAACAGCCTCTTTGAGGGTCCACTGCGTGCATCGTCCTCCGTGCACATTTCATCTCATTTAAAACTAGCAAACCTCTTCGCAACAGTTGATTTTACTGGTGCATAGTCCAAATAATATTCATCAAGCTAAGCCTTAGCCACAACAGTATTGTTTTTCGCCAGAAAGCAATGCTTTATTGGCACACTTTTTTTTGAAATTATTTTCTTCAAACTATTAAAAGTTGCTCAATATAAAATGTTCTATCTCACAAACTGATAGTCAGACAGCTGTGAAATTAATGCACAGGTCCTTTGAAGGTTAGGGTTAACTAAAACTCTGTGTGTTAGTTTAAGAAACTTTTTAGCCTACGTCATAATTACATAACCAACATATGTTCGAAATTACTATTGAGACTTTTCCTAATTCTTTTTGAAATGTGTACACGCCTTCTTTTGAAAATGTGCTCTTGAAATATTTCCTAAAAATATACCCTTTTCAATTTAAACCCGATATTGATATGACAGTGGCTACAAACATCGATGGGAGAAACAAGAGGTCCATATTAAAAAAAATATGATGGAATCTAATGAACGAAACGTCACATTGCAAATTGAACTACATTAGATTAATAATAATAATAAACGCTAAATTGTGTCCAATATGATGAAGCTAGACAACGATTTGAAATACCAAATTCTATGAAGGAATGTTTGAAAGATCATAATGAAAGTCTGGATAGAATTATAAAATTTATGAAAGCTATTGGGCTATACTCAAAAATTTTAACAAGAAAGCAAATGATAAACAAACTGATAGTAGAAGGCCATTGACCTCGTAGTCGACGCCTTTAAACCACAAAAAAAAACGCCTTTTTATTGTTATTCCAGAACAGTACATAAATGTTTAATTCATAAACTGTTGACGAAGTCTAGCTTGAAGCTATTCCACTTAAGCAACAGAATTCCACTTAACAATTACAAAAAATATGAAACAGTATCGGAAGTTCCTCTTCCTTTTTTTTATATCATTCGAAATGGATGCGGTGAAGCCAAAAACGAAATTCGACAATTATAGTTTTTGACGAATAGTTCAAAAACAACCATTGCTATTTCCGATCTGAAGAAAGATTATTCTAGTACCCAAAATAGGAAACTTTTTTCTGTATTAAAAACAGTTAACATCACATTTATATTAATTTATCAACGAAGCATTTAACAAATATAATGAGTCGATTATAGAGTCTGCGAATGATAAATGAAAAATGATTCAATGCGTTATGCGACAACTAAAATACCTTTCTACTTCCAAATTTTCTTAAAAATAGCCATCAGAAATCTCTCAGCGCCTTGTGCAATGACTTGGCTATGACCAGTACGCACAGAACTCGATTCATTTCGAAAATATTCGTCAACAATGTGCTAGGTTTTGTGAAGGAGATTTTCGAGAGGCAGATACACCTGGAGAACATTTTTGTCGATGGCTACTGATGGACAAATGAACAAATACTGAATTTATTTTTCGGTTGGTGTTGCAGATTGTTACATAAAGTTATGGAGGTGTGCCAAGTATATTTCCGTGTTATTGATGAGTATCAACTCGTCAGAGATATTGGTAGGAGACGAATGTAGCGTTAGCGGATCAATGACAGAAGTTCCAATTTTCCGAATATTACGATCATGAGACCGCTACTTGGAGTCCAACGTTCATTCAATTATGTGATTCTTCGAAACAGTAGATGCATCTAAGAGCATACCCAGGTTGATATAGGAATGTATAGGCTTTCACGGCTAGCTCAATGTTTTGGTGTTTTCCGGGTTTTGCCGTGGTCTTCTTTGGTTACAATCTCCAAACGTTTCAATTATAACTGCGGCAGTTCTCTTCAGTGGTGTGGTCAAAGTACTCTTCTTGACGTAGCAACTGAAACTGAGGCTCTCATTTCTGCCATGTTATTTGTAGTGCTGATTTTTCGCACACTTTCTGTAATGGTGGATTCGCGCGTACTTTCCTCGAGATTTGGGTAACATGGCATAATTTCATTTGGAAGCCATAGAAATACACAAACACCAAGATAACTTCAACAGAAAGGAAGAAAGAACATACATACCAAAGACCTGACAGACAGCATTGAAAGGCATCCAAACGAAGACATGTCATCCAAATCGTGTGGGAAGTACGCGCGAACTCGCCATACAAGAAGAGTACTTCGACCACGCTACTGAAGATGACTGCCGCAGTTGCAGTCGAAACGTTTGGAAATCATAACCAAAGAAGACCACTGCAAAACCCGGAAACCATCCAAAATACAGGGTGTAACATAAGTACGGTGAAATATTCAAGTGACGTATTCCTGAGACAATTTTAAGAAAAAAGTCTATATGAACTTGTGTCCGAAAATGCTTCGTTTCGGAGTTTTGGGGATAGGCTACGTCTGGAAAATTTCTTGCTATCGCACTAAAATGATCAGGAGCTCCATCGTGCATAAACCAAGAGTGATTTCGGAGACCAATAGGAACATTTTCCATAAGTTGGGAAAGCTCGTTTTTCAAAAAATGTAGATAAGAATCTTCATTCAAACGTAAGGGGAGAAAATAGGGCGCAATTAAATAATCCCTATTTATGCCTACCCATGAATCGTCTAGCCTCGCTTGAATTTCCGTCAGCCAAGCCGTATGCAAAAACCATATCAGCCATTTCAGCATTCGTAAAGTCGGGCATGATACCAAAACATCACTTTATAAACTCCGAACTGTGAATTTTTATAAACAAACTTTCATAGCCTACTCGATTTAATTAACTTAATTTGCAAGCGGAGAGTGACAAAAATTATTGAAATCAAATTTGGGTATAAAGTAATTCAAAAAGACACATTGTAAATATATTTAGATAGGCAATATTGTGAAAATAATTTTATATAGCTGAAAATTGTTCTATATATAGCTGTAACATTTAAACATACATAAGGACATATTGTAAAATAATAGAAAGGCCAATTGTAAAATTAATTTAGGGTGGTACACTTGTATGGCTGGTATTACTGATTACCTACCTGTATGATGTACCTGATTAGTATAAGTAGCTTTAGTTTTGAGTAGTTTTTAGTTTTATCTTCCTCTTGAAGATGATCACTTGGTGATCGAAACACGTGTCGAGGTGTAAAAATAACGATTTGGTGTTGGAAAAACTTCCAGTAATATTCATTACTACACCAAAAGTTCCAAACAGTACATCACAAATTCCTCAGTAGTAGCGTATTATCAGGCCCGACTTGTACTTGACCGATTTGATAGGGAAATTGGATAATGACAACATAATCAAAACGTGTCAAGAGCTCTTATCTTCCAGTGCCATTCCATCTGAACTTCAGTCATGCCTCAATCATCGTGTAAACTAATACAGCCAGTGAGCGAGCAATTCGAGAAAAGTCCTACTCCCGTGAATTTGTTTCGGTTATTATTCATATGTTCCAAGGAAAATCCGATTCGTCTGGAGCTTAAAATAAATATCTCGAGAAGTTGACTAGTGTTTCACAGTGTAAAAATAATTGTGAAGGAAGGCTGAGTTATGGATACAGTTTCAATGAAATTTCACGGATGATCTTCGGTAATAGAATAGGTCAGTTCCTGCGGGTGTATGCTGATTGAAATTCAAAGTATCCAGACAAAAATAATATTGTTTCAGTAACAAATGATTTCAGCAAGGGGGTATTCTATGTGAAACTGAAAATTTAGATTTTATTCACGAGTATTTCTGACAATAACCTTCAACATTTTTTCAATATTTATGAAACTCGCTCTCTTCACCTAATTGGAGAATAAAATGCAATTTTTTTAAAATTGTTGAGAAATTGAATGCTTTCTCCATTTCAATGATTATTAGAATTGACAGATTGATATGTAAATTATAACTTAGGGTGCTATTTGTTTGAATCTTGCTGGCAAATATTAGAAACAAATAAGATATGAAAAATTGATTTGAGAATTTGAAAATATGATAGTTCGTACTGGAACCCCTGGCAAAAAAATGAATATATTGAAAAAACTTTCCCAACACCCAACGCTAACCAAGTTAGCGTTCTCAAGAGATCATTATGACTATATTTCACTACTATTTTTGTGTTTTCATATGCTAGTGGCTTAACTACTATCTGTTAGTGGTACCTAACTACTACCGGTTAGTATTACTTAACTCTACCTGTAATTGTTCCTCGAATTTGTCCGATATTAAAAAAGGCGACTCTAGCGATATCGCAAACTGAAGAGCAATTTCAATTTGATGTAACTTTTCTAAACTCTTTGAGATCTGTGTACAAAATGTTATGTACTCCCATATTCAAAAAGTTATTTCTCTTACTCAACATGGTTTCGTACAACAAAGATCATGTCTGACAAATCTTGCATGTTTAAATCAATGTCTCTGTAGGTCCCTGGACAAGCAAAAACAAGTTGATGTTGTTTATTTAGACTTTCAAAAAGCCTTCGATCAAATAGACTATTACGTTCTTCACAGCAAATTAACAAAATTGGGACTCTCTAACCAACTGCTTACTCGAATTGAATCATATCTAATTAACAGAAAACAATTTGTTGAATATGAATCTTTCAAATCGGCTCAGTACGTAGTTACATCTAGAGTACCACAAGGTTCTAATCTTGGAACTCTTTTATTTTCAATTTTCATTAATGACTGAACAACGTCTTTGAATATTCCTAGCCTACTATTTGCAGACGACCTGAAACTATATTATAAAATCGACGACATTACTGACTGCCAATATGTACAACATGAATTAGATTTAATCAAACTTTGGTGTAATAATAATGGTCTACAACTGAACATACCCAAATGTGAAATACAACAAAATAGCGATCTCTAATACCACAATTCTACAATCAACCGCTTACATGAGTTAAAAAAATTTCTGGGTATAACATACGACAAAAAACATTTACAATACATATAAGGAATATGATTGATGTTGCAAATAGGATGCTTGGATTCATTTACAGAAATGGCAAAAACTTCAAAAGTATTGCCACCTCAAAATTGCTATATTTTGCGTATGCCAGATCTAAGTTAGAGTATGGCTCTGTGTTATGGAATCCAGTTTACGACTAACAATAAACATCAATTGAGAGCGTGCAAAGGAAGTTCCTAAGATACTTATGTCTAAAAGTTGATGAACAATAACCCACGAGAGGCATGGATCATAACATTTTGTTGACACGATTTGATATGACATCTTTGGAAAATAAAAGAGTTACCCTAGGTATGAAATTCCTGAATGAATTACAAAACAACAATATTGACAGTATGATTCTTTTACCCGAGATCAATTTCTTAGTACTAAGAAATCAAGGTCGACATNTTATAAAACACTTTTATTGTCTACAACTGTATTGTGTCCATGGCACCTTTTATATATACAATTAGCATTTTGGAAATAATTATAAAATATCAACAAAATAAAACTGTTTCAGGACCATGAAATTATAAACTGTATTATGTTCAGAGCTCGTCTAGTGTACCTAATCAATTAGTATTTTGGAAGTAATTATAAAATACCAACAAAATAAAAGTCTTGCAGCACCATGAAATTATAAAACAATTTTGCTGGTTGGGGAGTTTGAAAAAATCTGATTAAAGTCTGTTTTTCCGTTAATCAACTCTCAGAAGTTGAGAAACTTGTGCGAGCTAAGGACTAACGCGGTCTTACCTTTTAACATGTGATTCCTAACACGGAGTAAGATAGAATATTTTATTTTTTATCTCAACAACAAATTGGCAATTATAAAATTGACGTATGAAATTGGGAATAACGAAGAACTAACATTCCTGGATGTGATAGTTATTAAAAAGGTCGATAAGGGTCTTGAGTTTGATGTATATAGAAAGAATAAAAGCACTTTCAGGCATCCCTGACAGCTTCCTTCATTGCCCACAATGAAAAATGGCGGGACTACAATGTCTTGTCCATAGACTGCGCAAAGAAAGGTATGCGATTGAAAAAAAAGTTTATATGAGTTTTTTTTTGAGAATGTTTATACGAATTGAAATGCATGATAAAATATAGAGTGTTCCATAAAAAAAATTCATTTCATGAAATATTTTGACTGTCAAATCGAGAAAGCCATTAAAAATGCTACTAGTTTGCTCATTCAACCGAAATCGTAGCATCAATAATAACGGAGTTGGCAATGGTGCTGACTTAATTTGAAGTACCCTGTATGAAAGTTGTAGATATTTCAGGTAGTTTGATCGAGTGAATTCCTGAGTAGGTAGTCTTGATTGTGATTACGTCGGGTATATGAATATCAGAGTAAGAATGAACTTTTAGTACGTAATTCTCTACGAAAAAGCTACTGTGTGAGCGAAACATTTCCTGATATTTTTTAAAACTAAAGTTTGTGGAGATCAAATCGTGTAGTTTATGAAAATATCATTTAGCAGTAAATGTGATATGGAGCAAAAAGCTGGTGATGGATCTAATTGAACTGTTTGCACTTCCTACCTTATTGTGGGACATTAA